GCTTAGCATCGAGGATTGGCAGAGTGGCAGGCGACGGGACTGGATCTGCGATTTGGCGAACGTGATGGTTCATCGATGCTGAGACACAGGACAGAGCTAGGGCAGCGACTCCACTACTGGCGGCCTAGTGACAAAAGATCGAAGGAATTCGCTTCTTCCTTGCGACCTACATACATCAAACTCAGGAGGAGAGGAGGAGCTGTGAACCCTAGCTTGAATACATCGAACAAAATGAGAGCAAATGAATTGGGAAAGACATCTGGTGTTCTTTTATGTGGATGGGCAACGAATAGGGAGAGCAGTAAACGGGAGAGCGGTAAACGGAGTCGATCGTTTCGGACTGTAGTAACGTATAAAAGACCAAAGTAACGTTCTTCCACGCTTTATATATAAGGAGATATTGCTTTTTCTGATTAACCCCCTCCCCTCACCCCCACCGCCCAAAACCCTCCAAAACACCCGGCCCAACCCGGGAAAAATAAAAAAATTGAAAAAAGGCCCGAACCGGGTCCGGCCGGTTCCAAAGGATGGGGTGACCCGTACCGGGCCCTCCCTAACACCCCGGGCCGGTCGTAGGCCCGGAACCGGTTCACCGGGACAGGCCTGTTTCAAACAGTATCGGGCCGGACCGGTTCACGGGCCGGTCAGACCAGACTTGGGCCAAGACTACCTCGGTCGGGTGATCCCACTTTTGGTTTCGGGCTGGGCCGAAACGAGGTTCGACACTCTTCAGGAACGAGTCAATTTTTTTCAATTTTGGGCCTAGGATCGACCTTGTTAGCCCATAGTACTACCCCGGTCCTGGTTCACAATTTTGGGGTACCAAATTGGGCGGTTTTGGTCTCGATCGACCAATTTTTTAATATTGAATTTGGGTAAAAAAAATACTCCTATCACATTTAAAGGTTGTCGTCCACTATTCTCCGGTCAACGTGAATTGTTCTTAATACTGTCTATTTTATTTTGCATATCCAACTTTTATCAAATTTAATTTTTCTTGATTAGGTATTATAAAAACTTTTAATGTAGTTTGTGAATATGTATATTTTATTTACTAAAAATAATCTTATTGATAACAGGGATCAATAACTTTATGGTCAGTCAAACATCGTAAATCGCGTGAGAACCTTTAAGCTATGTTGCACGGACACGGATATGCCGATACGTTGATACGCGAATACGGGTACGACGATACGACAATTTACAAAGGATACACATCGGGGTATCGGTATCGGATACGTATCGGATACGCGGATACTACATCGAGGTGAAGTATCGGTGCAAGACTGCCTTTAAGTGGGACAAAGTGAGTATAACGGCTCTGGCTCTGGAACTGGACGAATGGGTACCCGGAACCGACCTAGATCCAGAAAATAACTGATCACTCCTAGACTATAGCAAACAATTTCTAGGATCAGGCATTCTCGGTCTCCGACCAAACTGAGCCGGGTCCACCCCTATGTATAAGGTGGTTTGCTTTAGATTGTTTTTTTGTGCTGTGGGACTGTGGGAGCGTGGGGATAAAAGCTGCATGAATGACTGTTTGGACTCACGTTTCGTATATAATTGTCCGTTAAATTCTTGAGCTCTAATTACCTGAGTGGGAACTGACAAGCACGGAAGCACCGGATTTCCGGTGAAATTGTATAAATAAATAACCTCAAGGAAATTTGCAAAAAGAAAAATTAACTTCAAAGAAAAAGTTTATACTATTGTTTTTTTAAAGTGTGTTAACTCATCCATTGACTCGAGACCTCCCATTAGGCACGGTGACCTCACAACCAGCTGGACTGGAATGTTTGGTTGTTTTGTAGAATTGTATATTAGACACAATGTGACGATGTAGCTGAAAGGTTTCACACTTTCACCCACTAGTGTAATAGTGTTGCATTTCAATGTAGTGTGTAACAATTAAAAATGTTTTCTTAGGTAAGAAATATTTTAATTTACGTACCGAATATTATGAGAAAATTGTCCAACATGGGACTAAAACTCAACTTTTTCCCCAAAATATGACCACAGGCATGTTTTTCCTTAAATAGGGCTGACATTACCTTTTTTACCCCTAATTTTATTTAATTAATTAATTGATCTAGATAATTGCCCCCTAGTTTCCTTACACAACCAAGGCAGTCCGTCGGTGGCGGGGCAGTCCGTTGTGGCGGCAGCACTCTGGCAGCCGGTCGGCGGCGGATTCCGGTGGCGGCAACGAACTTCGGCAATTAATTAACCCAATTAATTGCCCCCTCTAGTTCTCTTGCACAACCAAGGCAGACCGTTGGTAGCGGGCAGTCCGGCGGCGGCAGAAATGTTGGCAGAACACCAGAAAAAAATTCTGAAATTTTTTCCGGCGGTGGTCGCCGGAAATCTGGCGCCGCCGCCAGTCCGGCGGCGGCTGCAGGTGGTCGTCAGCAGGCAGCACTCCAGGGGCAACAGTAGGGGTATTATTGTCTAATCACACATAAAAAAGTCCCTTTTACGAATGTTTAAACTAATTGGTCATATTTTGAGAAAAATGTCATGTTTTGCTCCTATTAAGGTAAATCTCCCAATATTTTTGTGACTGTTTTAAAATATATTTAAATGAGATGGTGTTGAATTTTTTTAAACCTGAAGGTTTTGGGTGAATTTTTTTTAAATCTCCCAATAGAATTTTTTTTAATACGGTACAAGATCAGATTAACGTGAAGGTTATGGATGACACAACACATGTGTTGGGGAATTGGGGATTAAAGCATGTGCAATATTCAATGAAATGTCAACTTTAAATTGTGGTCTACAACTTCTCCCTTTCCCTTTATTCTTGTGAGGAAAAACATCTATCCTGCCTAATTTCCAATTGAGATTGATGATTTGAAAGACACTTGTACATTTTTCAAACAACCAAATATGTTGAATCATAAACAAATACAGGGTAGTACTTCTTTAGAATGTACTCCCTAAACAAAAAAAAAACTTTCTCGTCCTTTTTAAAATTTGCCCATTAGTATCTTATGATTTAAGGAATGCATCACCCTCTTGTGTTACAACTTGAATATCACGTGTTTTCATGTTATAGACAAAATCTATAAATTATACCAAAATGCTAATTTCTCTACTTTTACATGGCAATTAAATTTATTCTTCAAGTGGATTATGCGTATGATTAATTATGACATACATGAATTTGACACATTTTTTATATCATATGAGAATTAATGCACAAAAAAATAATCATGAGACAAATGCACGAAATATATGACGAATTAACTCCCCTGTAATATTCATTCAAAGCCTTAACTTGGGATCATTTAAAGTTTTCGACACAAGTACACAAGCCATTTTGCAAGAAATTCCCTGTGGGTAGGCTGTAAGGATACACATATGTGGTGGCAGTTGGATACGTGATTTTATTGGGCATATCAATAATAATACCTAAGAATGAATAAGTAATAGGTAGTAATAGGTACGGAGTAGTAATTTAGAAAACTTGGGCCCATGTTTGTCGTATGTGTGAGTTGTTTCGGTAAATATTAATGGACACAAAAACATCATTCACTATAAGTACTCAATCAAAACTGTTATAATTAAGATCTACTCCCTCCGTCTCCTTTTAAATGTCCCGTTTTACCATATTGGGATGTCCCTATTTAATTGTCTCATACCTTATTTGGTAAATTTTGTGTGGCTCAAAATCATTCTTACTTTATTCTTACTTTATCAATTAATATCAACCACACAAACTCACTTTTCTTAAAACTCGTGCCACCATCTCCCGTCCCATTTAAAAGGGGACGGAGGGAGTATGAGTTATTTCCCGGAGAGGGGTACGTATTGAAACCTCATACGCTGGCAAGTGGCAACATATGTATTAAGGATGGTGCACAAGTGAAAATAAGTTTCTCATGAAGATAAAAAAAAATTTGAGTTGTTGCTAGCTTGTGCTTAACTATAGTTGTAAATTCTGCAAAACCATATCTTTTGGATAAGCTTTTCATCACTTAGAAATAGATGGCTTAAAACTTTTTGTTTTAAAAACACGTGGTGATATAATTGTAATTTGTAAATATATGTAAGTATGTAACTCTAGTTTGCAATATTTAATGATAGAAAATGGAAACGGGATCATTGTAATAGTTTGCAATATTTAAATAGATGACCATTTACCCATACGTAGGCGTGGACCCGGTTCGGGCCGCCCGGCCCGGGACCGGCCCGGCCCGCCACTGTGCGGGCCCGGAACCGGCCCGGTTCTCGGGTCCGGTTCGGGCACAGACCCGGTCGGGTTAGCGGGACCGGGCTCGGGTCCTGGTTTTGGATGCCCGGCCCGGCCGGGTCGGGCCCGGGCCTAACGGTCCAAATTTAAAATTTTTTTTTTTTTTTTGCTTCTTTTGGCTCAACGGCCACCCCAAACGGCTATATAGCCGTTGGGTGGTACCAGGGGGGGTCAGGGGGCTTTGGGTGGGGGGTGGGGTGGGGGGTGGGGGTGGGGAGTGGGGGTTAAAAAAAAAACCTATAAATACTCCTAATTTTAAACATTTTTTCACACCTCTTCTCCAACTCTACCTAAATCCTACTCTCTACTCATCTCCAATTCTCCGTATTCATCTTCTCAAATTCTCTTATTCTCCTTTATATTTTATTTTACTATTTAATACTTATACAATTATTATATCTACTTATATATTAATTATCTACTTATATATTATTATCTACATATACTATATTACTTATATTTCTTATCTACTTAATCTCTACTTATATCTCTTAATACATACATACATACTATATCTACTTAATATATACTTTATATAATAAAGTATTAAATATACTTTATAAACTATTGGGTAACCTCCAACGCAATCGAAGAAATGAGATTGGGAGGAGAAATCCCGCAAAGGTAAAGAACTTGCCGGGTCTTCATCTTAAAGCCGAGATGATTTTGAAACGGGTTACCAAAGGCGAGATGGAGATGCGATGTCCGAAGAACAACTCCAACAAGAATTGGCCCGACATAATAACCGCTTTCTACAACAACAACAAATGCCGACGACCATTGACGAAGAGGAGCTTGAGGATGAAGATGCGGAGGAATTGGAACCGGAGACGGCCGAGGAGGAGGGTGCCGGCAGCCACGACGCCGACGCGCCTGCCTCATCCCAAACCGCCACCGGTAATAAAAAAAGTAAGTCTGAACTAATGAAAAATAATTTTGATAAATGGAAGGACCCACAAACCGGCTATTGGCACGCAACTTGCAAGTGGTGCAACAACAATTATAGTTTGGGAACCTCCGGCGGATACGGATCCGCCGCAAGGCATCTTAAGGCAAAGCACCCCGTGGAGTATGCAAAATTAGGCGGCGGAACGGGGAAGCAAACTCAAATATCGAGGTTTGCGAATTCTCAACCTTTTGGTAATTTCTCCTACAATGATGCACAAAATTTGACTGGTATGGCTAACTTAATTTGTGAAGACAATTTGCCTTATTTGTTTTCTGAAAGTCTTGCTTTAAGAGATTATGCACAAGGTAGTTTAAATCCTCAATTTAGAAATTATAGTCGCAAAACTGTTAAGAAAAAAATAATAAGGCTTTATAATGCGGAAAAGGTAAGGTTACAAATTTTTTTTGCAAACTTTGATGGCCGTGTTACTATTTGTTCTGACATATGGGAGGATGATTTTCATCATTTATATTATTTTGGTCTGACTGCACATTATATTGATGAGGATTGGAATATGCATAAACGTGTTCTTGCTTTTCGTGAATTTAATGATCGTCACACCGCTAAACATATTTATATTTTGATTGAGCGTATTTTAACTGAGTATAATTTGATTGATAAGGTGTTTGCTATTGGTTTCGATAATGCTACTAATAATACTGCTGCTATACCTCGATTGCGTGAGTTGTGTGGTGCCAATTCTTTGATGGGTAGATTTTTTCATCAACGCTGTGCATGTCATGTTATAAATTTATGTGTGCAAGACGGTTTAAAAGCGTTAGGAGATTCCATGGAGGTAATAAAGGGGGGGATTAGACGTATTTGGGGTAATGGTCAACTTAGATTAAAATGGCAAAGTTATTTGACTGAAAGAGGTGTGAGATATGTTGCTTTTCCTAAAGATTTGAGTATTCGTTGGAATAGTACTTATAAATTACTTAAAGTTGTTCTTAGATATAAAGAACATTTTCCTGCTTTTTTAAAAGAACATGATAACTATATTATAAACGCGGCTGAGATCGACACTTGCGAAAAAATTTGTAATGTTTTGATATATTTTTTTAATGCTACTGAAACTTTTAGTCATGTTTATAAACCTACCGCAAACCAATTTATTCCACAAGCTGTTAATCTCGCCGATGCTTTTAAAGAATTTCAAAATGCCGTTTTCGTTCATTATTTTTGTGATCATATGAAGGAAAAGTTTTTAAAATATTATGCGCATATTCCCCATATTTATGGTATTGCATTTATTCTCGATCCTCGTTATAGACTTGCTAATTTTGAAGATTGTTTCAACTTCTATTATCTTGCGTTTTTCAGTGAATTTCCAATGTATGACGATAACCCCATAGATCCGAAAACGGAATACAACGAGGTTAGTACTTTATTTTATGCCTTATTTAATGAATTTCGTGCACAATATAGCAACGCTCCCCCTCCCCCGTCACGAACATCTTCATCTAAAGGAAAATCGATTTTTAAATCTGCATTTGGCAATCTTATGAAAAAAACTAAAACAACTCACGTCACTGAACAAAGCGCATTGAATGAGATTACTTTGTATTTAACATATGAAGTTGATTTTGAAGAAAATGATGACTTTGACGTTCTAGACTGGTGGAAGTCAAAAGAAAGAACGTTCCCGATTTTAGCACGGATGGCTAAGCAAGTACTATCAATGCCGGTTTCAACAATTGCTGTGGAACAAGAATTTAGTTCGGCCGGCAACGTCCTAACGGCATCTAGATCGAGATTGAGCGCGGAGTCTCTTGAAACGCTTATATGCTACCACGATTGGTTGAAGGCCGCACGTAGAACTCAAGAATTGAGCATCACCCCCTCCCAAGATTTTATGGATGACTCAACAACCGATGGTGGCTCTACCTATGCCGGAGATTCCGATTGATTAGTATTTTAGAATTTATTACAAAATGTATTATATAGCACTTGTCAAATTTATTTATACTTGTACTTCATATTTCAAAATTGTAAACTTGTACTTCATATTTCAAAATTGTAAATTTGTAGTTGTAGTTCAAATTAATTTGTAAACTTGTACTTCATATTTCAAATAAATACGTGTTCACTTTTTCATATGTAGCACTTCTCAAATTAATTAATTGGTTACAATCTAATGACTTAAAATTATTTTTCTAAAATATAAAGCCGGTTTTTAAATTAAAAATACATTTAGAATATGTAATTTGTTTAAATACTTATACACCTATTTTGTAACATTTATAAATTATAAATCAAACCACTTTTCTAAGTACAAATAGTTTTAGTTTTACTTAATTCATTAAATTAATTAATTTATTTTACAATATGTGTATAACTTAAAAAAAAATTAATTCAAACCTCCCAAACGGCTATATAGCCGTTGGGGCTATGGGTGGGGCACTGGGGGGCAGGGGGGTCCCGGGGGTGGTGGTGTGGGGAGTGGGGTTCAAAAACATCTATAAATACATCTATTTTCTAACATTTTTTTACATCTCTTCTCCAATTCATCTCAAACTCTTCTCCATCTTCATCTTCTCTTATTATCCTACATTCCTACTTATACATATACCATTTTAAATATGGAAAGTACATCTTCCCTTATGCAAAACAATTTTGACAAGTGGAAGGACCCGAAGACCGGTCTGTGGTGGGCAACTTGCAGGTGGTACAAGAAAGAGTGTTGCTTGGGGCGTTCATACGGATACGGGATGCCAATAAAACATATGAAGTCTTGTGACAAAGGGAAAACAACAACCAACGGTGGCGGAAATCCCAATTGATATTCATTACAAAATGTATTTCGTATTGTTATTTTTTTCTCAATTCTCAAATGTAGTTCTTATTTCAAATAAATGCAATTGAACTTTGTTTTTAATAGCAATTTGTATAATATATAATTAATTAAAAAAACAAAAAAAATTAATGGCCCGGCCCGGCCCGGCGGGTGGCCCGACCCGTGACCCGGGCGGGTGGCCCGGCCCGAACCGGAACCGGTCATTGACCGGGCCGGTCCCGGGCCTACCATTATAGGATCCGAGGCCCGACCGGGCCTTGACCCGGCCCGGGTCCAACACTACCCATACACTTATCATTGATATATGTGTGCGTGTCAGCGTGTGTGAATATAATGAAAATGAACGGGCATTTAGAATGGTAAATATATACTCCCTCCGTCCCATTAGAAGGTTCCCACTTTCCTTTTTTGGACGTCCTATTAGAAGGTTCTCATTTCTATTTTAGGAAAAAATTAACAATCTTAAGTGACAAATTAATCATTAAATATTAAAGATAATACATTTATAACATCACAGTTATCAATATTAACTACATTAAAATATATACCTATTAAAATTATTTCTCGAAATATACTCGAAGTACTTTATTTAATTATTGTCTAAATAACCGTGTCATTTTGCCATGAGAACCTTCCAACGAGACAGAGGTAGTACTACGTAAGAAATATTTAATGAGGAGTTGTGAGGACAGTACAAATAGAAAAACTTTGGTTTGATAACTTGATTCAATACATGCACTAAAATATTTGTGTGTTTCAATTTTGGCACAGGTTCAGATTTACCTCCCGTTCAAGATACAAAATTCTAAATGCAACCCATATTTTGTTAAATAATGAATGGAAAGCCGACAAACACAATTAGCCGATCGGTTGGGTTATCTAAGTTGAATGAAATGTACAATCACCATCCATACATGTACAAACAAAATTAGGCACACTGTTTCAACAAAACAAAATGGGTGACCTATATAGGCATTGAGCATCTCATTTATACTCCTTTTCCAGGAAGCAGTCAAAAGAGGACAGAAGAAAGACAAGTCTACAGAAATCTATTACAACAATAAAGTAGATGATACTCCATTCACAATGCTCTTCAAGCTCCGTAAAGAAATTTATATCTTACTACGTAGAGGTTGCCTGATCAGGGAGCGTAGGAACTTTCCTAAAGACGTGCTTCCTGCACCGCTCAAATATGCTGTCATATATCAAATCAAATTGAACTCCAGCTCTTTCCCGATTTACAATGAAAAGAATGTGATCACCTTCGACAATCTTATAATACCTGTACCCCCATCAAGATTATTAAATATCTAGTTAGTACACATAAGGAATGCTATAGTTTGCAAACCACATAGCAATTGTGCTTTGTACAAGGGTCAGACTGCGTACATCTAACCCCCTTTGCGACATTGAGGTAATGTTGTTGTAGTTTGGTCAAAACAAAAAGCATCATGTGCAAAAAGAGTGTCAATTAAAACTGGGCATAGAGTATACTACCAGATGCAAGGCATGTAGTATCTTATATTGCCAACCCATAATAATTGCATTGGATCAATAAATGCATACCAGATGCCTGGTTGTAATGGCTGGCAGTCAGAACCCTTCACAACATTATGACTTGGATGTTCAACAGGCAAACGAGGGTGAGTCATTGATATAGTGTTTAATGCTCCATCGTTATCCCACCAGTCTTCATCCCTGTGTGTACATAAAACAAGTAAATAAGTGTCATAATGCAACTTGCAAAAACAGACAAGTAGACAATTTTAGTCCTGTCATGTAGTGTCTAATGATTGACCATTACTGCCGAAGTTCTCTATTTCTCTTAAACAAGTCTCCTCAAAAGGAATAGGGAGGGAAACTAAGATTATTCTAAGGGTATGTTTGGGAGTTTGAAGGGAATGGGAGGGCTAGGTTTTCAAGGTCATTGGAAGGGAAGGCCGGAAGGGGAGGGAAAGAGTTGGAAACCCATCTTCTTGTTTGGGAGTAACAAGTTTGAAAAGATAGTGGTTTTGGATGAATTATAATTAAAATCACTTCACATATATGACAAATTCAAATAGTTGAATTTAAATTTATTTAAAATTGAGCTAAAGTTGTCATTTAATTAGTTATCCTTCAAAATCCCCGAATTTGGGGGAACTTGAAAATTGAACATTTGAAGGGTTTTGGAGGGTTACAAAATCCCTCCAAAACCATCCGCTTCATATTTTTTATAACTCCCCAACATGAAAGAAGCCTTATAAACTCTTCTCAACCATCCCCTCCCCTCCAAAACCCAACTCCCGAACAAACCCTAAAGGATTTTAATTACTCATTGGTTTGTGTGAAAGCTAAAATAATGCCTTATAAACAGGACCAACAACACCTACATGTGCCAAGCACGGAAGCACAATATAGTTTGATGGCGTTACTATTACTTTTTCAAGGGAAGGTCCTAGGCTCCAAGTCCCATCAAAACAGGGTTAAAACTTAGCAGTTAGCTGTATGTTGAACAAACACTGTTGATAGGTTTGAGTGGATGCAAAAACAAAAACAAGAAGTTATATGTATAGAGTGGGCCAAAGTGATAAAAGAAACACATACCTATAACCTTTGTAAGGTGGGGAGACATCAGTTGGATATCGCCACATGCACATCTGAAGTACTCTGAGAAACAGTAGAGGATGTATCCCACGAATGCCAGAAGGGACTGTATAGCCCATAAATTGTCTTGTTCTTTGTGTGGCATAGCTGAAGTAGTATGTGTTGGGAAATGTATGTAAGTGGGTGTTAAGTCTGATAGCACCCTGGATAGTAAGGTCAGGAAGTATCCAGTCCCCTGAAGCAAATGGACCCGCATTTCCCAAAAGACAATCAACAAGACCCCAAATACCACTTTCCTTCCAGGAGATGTTGAAATGATCAAACCCAAAGTTGTAGTATTCCTTCAGCCAGGGTATGTCAAACCAATCATAAATTATCACTCCAATGCGGCAAAGCTGGAGTAGGCAGATGTGTTTCAAGGATCTCCCATCTTCAGGTCTGTTGAAAAATAAAAACTGTGAAGTTAATATGCTATTCAATTACCTTAGACTTATAGATTACCCAAGCCTAATGGATTTTTTCAAATACCGTAGTTCAATATTTTAATATGCTATTCAATGTTTCTAGACTCTAGTACAGTATAAGATGCAAAATTAAGTAGTTAACACTTCAGGCTTTTATGATAAGATTGTCACATTGGTGATCAAGTTAAAGAAACAATAGGTAAGTTGTTGATAGAACATTTTAAGGACATCTTAGAATATGATTTCTTTCTAAAAAATCATACATAGTATGAAGTACGTAGTATTAAATAAAGAGTTTTACTGAAGTGTACACTTGGGGCACATGATAGAAAGACATTTAATGAGCATTTAATGTTAACAGTTTTCATAAGTTATTCTTGATAACGGTGATAAATGTATAAACTTTAGTGCTACGTAATAATGATATCAGTTTTATAAAGTATAAACCACGTTTATTTTCTTTTAAAAAATAATTCTTTTATTGGAATTGAAGAATAAAGCACCAAATTTCTTCTTTATAACGTGTCTATGGCCTATGGCAGAATATAAGAATAAAAGGCACCCAGAAACTCACTGCATTCCATCTTGGTAAGTTCTTGTTGTGCCATTGAAAGCTCCAGATAATGATGTTATGCTTAAGACCCAATTCTCTGAAGTACTTCCATGCCCCTTGAATGCCTACAGTTATAAAAAAAACTCTCTTTGTAAGGCACATAAACTAATGACACAAAAAAAGATGGCACCCCATCCCTAAGCCCCGGGAACAAATAAACTACTGACACAAGATTATCTTTTAGGCATTGCAGTCCATGAGTTGATTATTACTCTCCTATTTTGACTTGCACTCATATTCATGTAAGCTAATATTTTGTTTTACCTTTCTAAATATACCCTTACTTTATGTCAAATCAAGCAAAAGCTAGACAATAAGTAAAGGTAGGAGTGAGTGTGTGACATTTTCTATTTCAAAAATTCTTTTTATAGAAATTGGAACTTTATCTTGGATATCCAAAAAAATAAAGAGGGAACTTCTTTTGAGATGGAGGGAGTATTATATTGAGAGGAAAACCTTGTCAGCAAGCATTTGCTGAAGAACACGAGCAACTTGTGCTCCAGCAGAATGTCCCACAATGTGAATTGGATGATCCTCATCCCACTCAGG